TTTAAATCTTTTTACGTGTCTAATTATAAATTATTATGATTTTCGTGCAATTTGTATATGTCATTAATATATTCTTAATTAAAATAGAAACAGATAATATAAGCGTGATTATATAAATGTAACAATACATATAATATTATTGAAAAAATAGAGTAATTTACATATTGTTATATTAAGATACAAAAATATAGATATTAAATTGATAGATAATCAATAAGATAATTTTATTCTATAATACTAAACTTAAAAAAACCTTTCCTTTAATTTAATTTAAAAAAGATATAATTTATCATAGTATAAATACTTTTATTTTTTTCAAATTTAGTAAGATGGTATTATTATTTATACTCAGGTGAAAAAAAAAAGAATAATTAAAGATATTAAAGTACCAAATTAAAAAAATTTACCAGTAAAGATTTTAAAGTACCAAAACTCATTAATAAAATTATGCTTAAAATCAGGAAATATCTTAATGAATTGGAATATAAGAAAACAAATAATTTTTTAATTATTCAAATTCATTTTTGATAATAAGAAAAATTTACAAAAAAATTTCAAAATCAAAATCAAAATTTCAATCAAAATCATTTACAAAACTAACAACAAAAATATGTACAAATATATTTAATAAATCTTCTATTAAAAATTATAAAAAATTTTGTGCTACTTTTATAATTTTACGAAATAAGATCACGAAGTGTTCATGTTTTGAAGAATATCGGTTAAGAATTACTGATGCAAAATTTGTAAAGTGATGAATCTTTTATTTTTACAAGATTGTAAGTTAAAATGATAATTACAGAAACGTTCTTATTATATCTTTATAGAACGAGAGAATATTTCTTAATCCTGTAACAAGTTATATTACAGGATATTTTAAAAAGTTCAATCGTTCGATTGAAAGTATGTATTATTTCTTCATAAGAACTGAGAAGCTGTAATGAAGATAAGATCAAACATCATACTTTCAGAGATATAAAACAAAGACCTTTGATTAATAAAGTTTATTATATTACTATAAATAAGTATAACGTTCAAAAAAAACCAATTCTACAAACTTTCTTTTCATATCCAGTCACTTATCTCGACTTTTAAACTTTTTATTCCTACATTTTTAAATTCGATTAACAATTAGGAGAGATTATACTATATTTTACTTCAAAAGTTTTATATCCTTTACTTAAAAGAGCCATTATTTAATTCCTTCATTTAATCTTTATTAGAAAGCCATCGAATTCATTAGATGTTATATTTCAAAATCACACTGTTCCTCATAAATATTGATTCTATTAATAACATTGATGCAAATTTACTTTATTTATTGATATACATTGTACATTTTTCTTTACATATATGTAAACAAAAAAATTTATTATTACAAATTTCTTAAACTTAAAATCGGTAATATTTCATATTAGTCATTTTTTACAAACTTAAAATGCCAAGTTTAAAAGAAATATCATATTAGAACTACGTTAAACGAATAGTATCGTAAAAATTTTAACGAGGAAGAAAAACTGTAGAAAGCTTTTACATTAGAAAGCCGAGCAAGAAGGTCAGGTTAAAAACAAAGCGACACGTAGGGAGAATTTTATGTAGCGCGCGATAACAGCAACGGGTGTGCGCGCCAATATCTTCTTGTCGAGGATGGTGCACGTTTTTACGGCCGTCTTTTTGCACGGGCGTATAAAAGTTACGCTATTCCGATGTTCCTGGGAAAACCGAACGACAATGGCCTCTTGGATACCAGCCAGATCTATATTTTTTTCTTCGGTTACGTTATCGACAATAATGAATATGCTTGTCTCGATGCGATCATTCCGTACAATTATAAAATTTGTCGAATAATTTCAGAGACAGAGAGAAAAAAGAACTAAGAAAGATTTGTCAAAGAAATAATTTTCTGTTAACTTTAATGAGCTTAAAATATATTGTAAACATTTGAGAAATCTATTGTGTGTATATAATTGATGGCCAATTTTAATTTTTTAATTATACGCAAAAATATCAAAGTTTCTCAAGGAGTTTTTTTTTTTATTGTATTTTATTAGATCTGTATTTTCTCATGGATGAATTATATTTACATATTGATATTTATAAAATTTTATACATATTTTATATGTAGAATGTTTTAGAATTTTATCTTTTAGAAATTTTTATTATTCTATTCCTCAAAAATAATATTGATTTGTAAAATATCTAAGTTCAATATTAATTTTAATATCATTTAAAGAACCAATTTTACTATAGAAAATTATCAAATCATCTATTTGATCTATAATTATAAAAGAATAATCTATCTATATTATATTAATATATAATGTTATACAAGATTGAACATTTTTCTTAAAAATATAAAAATAACTTTTTGAAAAAGTTTTAGTAATAATTAGTTTTTTTATAATAATATATATGAATTTTTTATATTTTAAAAAATGAAAGTGAATTTTAATTTTTTAAATATAATTCCATAAATCCATCATATGAAAATATAAAAAATTTAAACATATATTATGTTATCTTATCAAGATTAGACAAAATCAAGAATTAATTAAGAAACATTAACATAATTATTTAATCAATTTACTAATTTCTAATATCAATTATATAATAATTAATTTGCTATAATTATATTATTAGTAGTTTTGCAAGGGAGATACTCTCAAAAAATCCTAAAAATGTTCTAATTTCAATGAAAAGTAAATTTCTTAAATTATAAGAAAATCATCTATCAAAATCACGCGTGCAAATGACGGAGAAAAAACAAGACAATCCAATTATTTTTCGCATTATAATACACATCGAATTGCCTCAATTAGAAATAGATTTTCCTGTCTTTATTCCTGTCTTAATTCACGAAATAATTAAAAATAAATGTCAAAACGAAAAAAATAATTTCACGTATGAACTCGAAAACCAAAGACTGACCCGTTACGAATGCGAAAAAATTCTTCAAAATGTTGTTCTTAACAACATTTTCAAACCACGTTGAAATCGTTTAACATTTTAACGTGTTGTCCCAAAGAAAGGAAAAGATACAACAAGAAAAAAAAACAGGACCTAAACTCCGGGAGCAAAGAGAGCAGACAGGGAGGAACGCGGAAGGAAAATAATTACCGTGGAGAAGAGGGAAAGCGTAAATCGCGAAAAGATCGCGAGATCATCCTGAAACGGCGTTAACAACACCGCGTCGCGTCCAATTAAAAAGATTACTAATTAAACTTACTAATTAATAGCGCGCGAACCAACATAATATTACGTTTTAATTACCGGGTATCATCTTTTTCAATCCGTGTCGCCGCGGCGGTGCACGGTGGGGGCGAAAATAAAAAAGCAAGACCGTCCGACGACGTTCTTAAATCCAATTAATTTCTACGACTATTAATGAGCGAGCCGCTCGACCGTTACCGAGGTCGATGTCCTCCACGATCTCTCCCCGCGACCTGCACTAACGGCCGCCGCGGGAAGAGGTGATGCAAGATTATTGTGGATATTAAATTTCACTGTACCGGCCGCCTCTGCACGCCCCGTGGCCGGATATTAAATTTTAGTCCCAGTAAGCAACGCCGCCACGCGGGCATAATACTTCGCACTACCTACGTGAAAATCGCGCGCCCTCTAGACCTCTCTTTGCCATCTCTCTCTCTCTCTCTCTTCTCCTTCCTTTTCTCTCACCCAACGTAGCCGCATAATTCTTCGTGCCTCGTGCACCTATCGGTTCGGTGTTACTGCATCTGCGCCCGTGAAATGTCCCTTGGGCTTTTATTGCCATCTCGTACCACGACCGTTCCGCGGAATATTACATTTTGGCAGATAGGCGAAATTATCGATTATTATTACGATAGCGCGACGCTTTTCACGTAGAATAATAGGGAGAGGAGGGATCCGCAGCAAAACCGAGCCATTAGTTAGCCGTATTCTTTCTGCCGCGTACGCGAGCTTTCGGGGAGATCCGATGTTTCTATATGAATATAACAGAGGAGTGGAATGTGTGTGTCCTATCATCTTTGTTGGAATAATTGATAAGCATGGTAGTATTGAAGAGGAGAATTTGCGATAAAGGGAGGAAATTATGGTTTTTGTGTTTAACATGGAACTTGTATGATTATAGAGAATTGCATAAATAATTTTCTTATTCTGTGATGTTAATTAAAGTGTGAATAGTGATATGTTTATAAGATATTTATGTATATCGCTGGTTTCATTATAGCTTATTTTATATCAATTTACTTATGAATAATATATACACTGTAAATTTTTTTGATTTGTATGTAGCATATCATAAATATGCAAATAATTTGGAATAATCTATTAGTATTATCTATGAGTTAATTCGGTACTTTTTTAAAATTAAATTATTATTTATTTAAAAAAAGAGTATAACTTTTATTTTTTCGATGATTTTCTTCTATTTTTCAAATTTTCGACTTCTCTGATAAAAAACAAAAAAAAAAATTTTCATGTAACGAAATCATCAATGTTTTTTGTGTACCTCTTTCAATATTTGAAAATGTATATCATATCTGTCAAATGATATTTAAACGTTTTGAATGAATGATTGACGAATAAAATACGTGACTAATCCGCATGCGAGAAGATTTATTTAGATTTATTTTATAGTTTTGAAAACAAATATTTTTTTAAAATTTGATGTACTCTAAATAATACATTCAAACCAGTAAAAGATTTTTTCTTTGTCGATTCATCATTCTCATCAATTAGTTAGTGTTAACAACTTGGTATGGATAGTTTAAGAAATCTTATATCTTACCAAATGAAAAATTATAAATATTCCAATTAAACTTATGGAGAATCTAAGCAGATTCCTAATATTTCATTGTAAAATAATTTTTTATCGTATTATAGTTGGATATAGTGGTATCTGAGAAAAACAAATATAACAAGAATAACAAATTATCATTATTAATTTACCAATAATCAATCTGCATCATTATGAATGAAAGATTGAAATCATCGCACGAAGAAGGAAGATATCTTACCTCCTTGTAGCGAAGGATAAATGTAAACGGATGGTTCTTGCAACCAGGACACGACGAGCACCAAATCCTTCACGAAGCTAGGAACGACGCATCGCAACACCGCGGTGCAACCCCTAGACGCACCTCCGATCACTTCCACGTCGACTTTGTACGCTTGAGCCACCACTGTGAATAAATAAAAATCAATTTAAACAAAATTAGATTTGTACTTATACTTGTATATAAGGAAAATTTATCTATCTTGATAAAAATTTTATTAAAATTATAAATTATTACTCGTCAGAGTTATATTTTTGTCAATAAAATATAGCATTTTTATAAAAAGAATAAAATCCAAAATATTTCAATGCAAAAATATATTATTCAAGAAGTTTTGTACATTTTTCATAAATATGACATAAATGAATGCGTTGTATCCATATTTTTCTTTTGACATTAACTTATGATAATAATTTTAATAAATTTTATTATTCGATAATTGGATATTATAAAAAATCATATTTTGAATAAAATTTCTAGATACGACATTATAATATTGGAAGTTAATTCTGAATAATTTATCTGTGGAAAGAGAATATTCAATATGATATTGAAACAATATTTTATATGTCTTGTAGAACTATTTTTTTTTCAGTTTTATATATATATATCTCAAATTTAAACTTTTGTACAATATTATAATTTCCTATATAACTTTTACTTGATAAAGTTATTGAGAATTTGCATGTAAATAGTTTGAAATATATTTTTAATAACACTATATATTTTTTACATATTAGTGAATACATTGAATATTTGTTTCTGTTTTAGCATAAAAATCCGCAATTATATTATTACTAATAATTAACATTATTATATACTAATTATATACTATTATATACTAAGATTAAAATAAATCATTACACAGCAATTTATTTTATCCAAATTTATTAATTATTTTTTACAAATTCAAATTACTTCTACTTTTGTTTCTATTTTTGTCCAAATAAATTTCACTTATTCAATTTCTCATATTATCATCAAATTTTATTACCGCACAAATATCGAGACAGAAGTCTACATTATTTTACTAGCAATTTTTGAATTTCGTATTTTCGTAATTGCAGCACGTGAACAGTGGTACTGATAAATATTCATGCGTGAATGAGGTCTCATCGTCGTTTAAAGTTATATCTTTAATGAGCGATCCTAGATTTTCAGAGTTAATTTCAACTTAGTGTTGCAAACACGTTCATTCAAATAATCCACGAAGGATTAATTCGTGTTGATGCTAATTTATATGATTTTAAAGTATAAGCCGTCATAGTTTTTTTTCATAAATAATATACGAATTTATATATGTACGCTAATATTTACTTATAAAAGATATTTCAGGTTGGATTATTCTATAAATAGTATCGAGTAAACATAGAAACTAATTTTTTCGTTTGAAACAATATTTTTGAAAAAATCAATTGAACAAAAGAATAATTGAGGAAAAGTTCTTGAAATAAATTATCAAGAAACTTATTATGAGAATATAATTATGTTTTAAATTATATAGAATTATATGCAAAAATATGTTAAATAAAATATATCGTATTTTTAATGTTTATAATACAGATGAATTAACTTATTTTGAATTAGTTTTAGGTTAGGTTAAGTTAACACGTAAAACCTAACCTAATCCAAACTTCAATTAAACTCGGTACACTAAATCTACTTATTTAAATAATTTAATAATTATTATTCTTTTTAGTAAATAGTAATAAATAAAAATACAATTATTATGTATTAAAGTTTATTACATATTACATATTTTCTACTATTGGCCTGAAACCAATTTTCTTTATTAAAAAATGCTATATCCGATTATTAAAAACGAATAAAAAACGTATATATAATAAAATATATGTAATTACGAAAGAGATAGAAGATTTTTCTTTTAAGATTGAATTACATATAATTAATGGACAAAATTAATAAAGATTTTTGTTTACATAATAAATTAAATATATAAAATATATTGTTACAATATATTACGATACAATCCCTTTAAGTTTTAAATATATTGTAATTAGATCTCTGTATTTGTAATTTTTTATTGTTAAGGCAATTACAATATTAATAAGTTGTTTATGACAGATTGTGACAGATGAGAATTATATACACGTTCTCTTGAATAAATAATTCTGTTATGCATTCGTTAGTACGAAGATTTATTTATTATATAATTGTGTCATGTTACAAAGTATCAATTAGAGTCCAAATAATCTAATATTATTGAAATTTCATATAGACTTTATAAAAACGATAATACATTGGAAGTTTTATATTGATTAAATCTAATATTTATTATATTTTTTCGACAAGAAAATCATTCGATATTTAAAAGTTCAATATTTGTTGACAAAAATTTCTTATTGCATGACTTTTTAATAAAACTTAAATTTATATTTAAAATTTTATTTATTATTATTTATTTAGTTGATTCAAAACTGAGAATCGATTGTTCCTCTTTTCTTCAATTATTTTTTTTTATTAGTTTTTTTTATTAATTCTTATACAAAAAATTAATTCTATATTCATCTAATTCGATCCATTGTTCAAGAACAGATTATTAAATACAGAGTACTTATTCTATAAGAAAACTTCTATATTCGCCATTAAACTTAAAAAGAGGCTTGAACTATAAAGACTAAGAGGGGATATGCTGTATCCACTTAAGTTTTTCATGTTCTTAACTACAAAAATGTATTTTAAAAGCAGATATTTAAGGTTATAAAAGTATGGATAATTTTGGATTATGCGAAATATGGACAGAACGTAATTATGAGATTTTTTTAATCTTAATAATTTACTTAATTATCGCAATACATCAAACTCTTCATAAGTTTTATATATTATATTATTATATTATTTGTAATATATATTATAAATATTTTTTTTTCTATTTTCCTTTTTCTGCTGTCCCTTTTATTTTTTCTATATCATATTTGTTATAAGCGCTTTTGCAATCTCATTAAGTTCGAATCCTTATCATCTATCATTTTTGAATCAATTCATTTCTATTTGGATTTGCTATTACAAATAAGGAATATGCAATTAACTTTCGTTGCATTATATCTGTTCTAAGTTAAAAGTAACAATAAATAATTTTTGGAAACTTTTAGAACGAAAGAAACAACATTTATCGACAAATTTCCTAAATTTGCGAGCTCGAAGAGCTATTCCCCCTTGGATTTTAGGATCAATCTCAAGAAATATCGAATTATTCTACACCACCGTTCATAATTTTTTACTTTATCGTTCACACGTATGCATACAATGCAAACAGGGTGTCACGCCGTTACTCCTCGTCGACAACCGGGTGAATCTCGACGTCGGGGAAGCGGCGAGGCGTGAGGCGACGCGGGCGTAACGAACGCCTCGTCCTCGACGTCTGCCGGTCGTTTCTCTGCTTTCCTTTTTTGTTTCTACCGTCGCCCACCCGCTCGAGAGGCACTGCACTCTTCCGGAGATTTTATTTACGTGGAAATTTCAAGGGCGACGGCCAGCAAACCGCCCTGACACGTCGCGACGCCGACCAAGACACTCTCCCCCTTTCTCTTCTCTTCGCCTGAACCACAACACGCTGAACTTTCTTTCCTCTGTCAACCCCCTTTTATCCTCTCCGTTCACCCCTTTTCCCGCGCTCCATTTTCAACGGGCCTGTCACCCTGTTACCCGGTAACGATATTCGGCCAATTTTTCACGGGATTCGAATTCCCTCGAAGCTCTTTTATTTTCCAGCCTCGAATGTTTCCCCCGGGGAAAGCTAATAAACGCGTTGATCGAGCGGCGTGGCGTACCCGACATGCCGATGGAAATTCTTCTGGAAATGAAAACACTTAAACGCGGCGCGGCCGTCGAACGCGATTCGAAATTGGAATCTCGACGTAGCACTCGAAGGATGCAGGGGAAATCCGATCGGTATGTGATTGGTGAGCGATGTGGGTTAGATGGTTTGATTGGAGAGAGAGAGAGAGAGATTTTTTTCGGATCGTTCGTTATTTGTGTTGTTTCGAGTGGAAATAAAGAAAATAGAAATAAATCGCGTTGTTATGCGAGTGAAAAATATAAGGAAAATATTTGCTTCACAATGTTTTTGTATCGGGTTTCGGTATTGATCGGTTGCGCCAGAGAAAATTAAATCTTTCGTCGTTAAAAATATCGGGAAGGAAATTCATTCGATGGGGTTAGAGTTAAGAGTTAAAAAGGAGTATTTTGATAATTGTATATAATCTAATGACTTCTCTCAAATTTGTAAAGAAGCTTTTTATCATTGGGTTAGAATTAAGATAGCTTGAAAAATTTTTATGCTCATCATATATATGTATATGAAGCTATCGATATTTGTTGAATTCATCATTAAATCAAGAAAGCTCAACGAGAAATGAAGAAAACGATCAGAATATGTTTTGACGGAATATCTTCAGTCTAACCTAAAATATTCTGATTGATTTTAAATATTCAGAATACATATTGGCAATATAAAAATGTCAATAATATAATAAAATAAATCGAATTAGATTATGGTTGGAATATATAACGTTTGAACGTTATTTTAATATTATTTATTGAATATTTTAAGGTTTAAATCAACATCAAAAAAATTAATAAAATGGATAAAAATATGATTTTAAAGAAGAAATTGGAAGATTATTAATTAGAAAATTAATTATATATGTTAACAAAATTAGAAGAAATCTTTAATCTAAAAGATTAGTAATATGTTTAATTTCTGATTTCATTGTTTTTTATATTAGTTTTAAAAGATTTGAAATTAAGATTTTTGATCTTAGATTTTTTATTGAAAAAAATTTCATAATTTATTTATCATTAATGTTATTCGAAAAAAAAAAAATAAAAAAGCAAAAATAAATATAACTAATTAGTTACATTAGAACAAATTGTTTTTTTTTGCTTAAATATTGGCTAATAAAATAAAAATTTATCGAAGAAAATAAATAATAAAATAACATATTATATTTATATGTGAATTATATTTATATTTATTTGAAATATCATACATTTCTACTAATAATTTAGTAATCAATTGTTAAAATAAAATGAAATGTTTCATCGCTAGAAATGTGTAATTTCATTAATATATAAAAAAAAAAGAAGGACTACTGTTGAATATATTAAAAGTTAAAATTAAATAGTAATAGAAAAAAAAAAAAAATTTTTGTTTCAAGCGTATTTAATTCTTAATTTCGATGTTCCTAATGTTACTTTAAAGTGTATCAAGTTAGTTCAAGGTACGAGAAAGGTAATCGTATAATGTCTGATGAGAAATACAGGAGATTGAACAATTAGTTCACGTAATAGCCCCTCTATAGTCAAACAGATTGCAAACGGTTGTTTATTCTGGTCTTTTTACCAGCTATTTTCATATTCAAATTGGGCAAGTAGTCTTTGTTTCACATTCATTTACCCAAGACGAATTTTGCCTAAAGTATAATGCAAGCTCCTTTCGTTCCACAGTGTTAATAACAATGCTAGTAGCACATTTCTTCATTAAGGATAAAATAACATCAAGAGGAAGAAAATAATTTTTATATTTTTTAAAACTCAAGTTTCGATATTTAGAAACATTTTAAATAGAAAGTTATTCACAATTAAAGTATTTATTATTCATCAAAATTTAGAATCTATTATTTAGTAAATAAAATATCTTTTTTGTTTTTTGATCAATTTTCAAAATGATTAAAAAAAAGTAAGTAATGTTAGAGAATTTTATAGGAAATGTAATATTTAATATTTTATAAATCTTATAGAAATTACGAATTTTAAAAAATTAAAAAAGAAAAATAAATATCGTCATATTGAAATTTTTTAATAAACTAATAACAATAATTTTAATAAATTGATTACACAGAATTGTAAATATTAAGATTGTAAATATTAAAAGAGTTATACCTCAAAATCGTGATTTCTCAAACTGATGTTCTTATCATCTTTTAATGATAAGAGATCATATACATTTTTCAAAATATTTTTTCTCCTTTTATTCGAATATGCTTAATAGTTGTAAAAGTATTTTTATTTTTAAACACTTATTGAATTATCAAGTTTTTTTTACTGTATAGATTTGAATCTATTTATTATATGATATATTTTATCACATTTATAAACATTTTTGAATCTTTTGAAGTTATTAAAATTATTTATTGACTTTTTAGAACAAGATTTAGAATTGAATCCTATATATCCGGATTCTGATTTTTAAATTTCAGTTGTTTTTGTTTAAAAAATCTTAAAATCTAATTAAAAAATTGTCCACAAACACAAAATAATAAACTTCAAGAGATGAGATATAGATGAATTGATATATCACACCTTTGGTAAATTTTATTCTCTTAATACTATGAAGTTAAAATCTATCTTGTAGTTATTCTTGGTGGTCATTCAATGTAAAGTTCAAAGTCCTATGTTTCTAGGATCAGTCTTGACGAGTTCAGTAATTGCTGGACCATAAAGCTGGAGGTTCTACGAGTTTGGTCTTGCTCTTAGCGGATTTCATGTCTCTGGGGGTTTGAGAGTTTGAGGTTGTGTGACCTCAGAATTATCATTGGAGCATATCGCTTCTCTATAGTATGAAGATTGTGGTCTTGTGTTCTACAGTGAAGTTGTACTTGCCAGTTCTTATGTTTCTAAGGTCTGGAATTCATGTCTTGTAAGTTTTAAACACGTTGTTTTACTATTTCTTATTCTTTTTCTTTTTATATATTTTTTTAACTTTTTCTTTATTTTATTTCTTTCCTCTTTTCTAATTTTATTTATTCGCTTGATTATTTTAAGCATTCTTAGAAATATTCCAGAGCTAAAAGAACACGATAAAGGATTACTTATAAATTTAATTTTAATAAAATACATAAATATTATTCATATAGATATGAAATATAAATTAAAAAATAATAATAGAAATTCGCTATAATATTTTTTATTTGCGAATATTTACAAATTAACATGTGAATGGATAAGTTGAATTATTAAATTGTCGAATATCTAATTTTAATCTATAGATTCTCTTGTTATACATACAAATTTTTTTATCGTTATCTCTGTTATACTGTTAATATTTTTAGAAGTAAGATTTTTATATATGAATAGGAAATATAAACTCAACAAATATAAAAATTGATATATAAAAATGTTTAATCAAGTGCAAATTATAAACAATTGAAATTTACGTTAAATAAGTGAGATAGAGATACATCATTATCTTATTCTGGTTTACATTCAACGAAAAATTTTATTGCTTATAAATTAATAAATAAGCTCCAACATTTTTCTAGTGTATTAACTTTTATCATTATTATCATTATTATATTATACGAAACAAAACATATCTCTTCTAACCTTTGAATTAATTAGTTTAAAGATATCTCTGAATAGATTAATATTTCGCAAGATATTCTTTCGGATTTTGTGGAAGAAAGTGCAACTAAAAATCAGAAGCTAAACTAATCACAAAAAAGCTTCGATGACTTTACAATGATTCGATATCAAAAAATCAACGAATTTATGATACTAACTTCCATTTCTTAAAAAATAATCATTTTTGATCGTATAATTTCTGATTCACATAGAATCATTCTATTTTTCTTCTATCCACAATCTGCAAATAATGATATCATTGCATCCAATCAATTTACTAAACTTAACTACACGAAAACAAAATACGTAAAATTAAACTCTCGTCGCTCATTTATTCAACTCGATATCAACTCGAGCACCGCAATAACAAGCGCATTAGCCAGGTCAGTTAGAGGGAACAGGGATGCAAAACAGATACGTCCCTCGTGCTTTTCTTACCCCGAGGAAAACGCTCCTTCTCGTCCCGGAAACGGGGGGACAGGAATAACATCCCGGCTGTGAATGGGGTGAAACAGTATCGTTGTCGCGTTTCCGCCGTTTTTGGATTTTCTTCCCGTTCCCCGAACGATGCAATGGACCGCGAAAACTTCCTGCTCGGACCGGAAGTCCGAGCCAGGTTGGGATAGAAATTTCTTTCGTTAAACCGAAAGCAGGAAGTAAAGTTTTAATTAACGGCCACACGTCCGGGCCAGAACTTTATAGCCGCGAGGGAGTAGTTGGCAATCCTGAAAGCGTCGGGTCGACCTCGCAGCTGCCACGGATTTGCATTCAGATTGCATTTTTTTTTTTCCTTTTTCTTTTTTTTTCTTCCCCTCCTCTCTCTCTCTCTCTCTCTTTTTTTAAAGAGGTAATTACACTGAGCTGTACTCGGAGAAAACCCGGCCGCGTCTCATCTGCATCCCGGCCGGGTTTAAAACATCCTTCGTCAGAACTTGCTCGGATTTCGCCTCTTCCTTCCTTGGAGGAACATGACCGACGCATCCCCTAATGATTTTTTAATTGCTTCCCTCCCCATTCCTCCAAACGCCCCCTAGCACAATCAACGCTCGTTCGCGCTTGTGTTCTTCCTTCTCCTCGATATAAATTGTAATCGTTCGCTTTGGTTTTCATCGTTAATGTTTTTCAACGGTGTAATTTTAATGTGGTATTTTTAATGTACGATAAGAGGAAATTTGTAAATAATCTATCGGGATATGAATATAGATGTAACGTGAAGACAGAGTCTAAAGTTTTGCATATTTGTCATAATATACAAAAACTTATATACAAAGTCCTCAAACTTTCGAGTTTAAATGTTAAAACGAGTATAAAAGTTATATATAAAAAAGTGTTGAAGCTTATTTATTGAATTATAAATAATTTAAATTCTAAATTATTATATTACACGAAACAAAATATATCTCTTCCAACCTTTAGAATTAATTGAAATATGTTTCTGAATATATTATTTTGCAAGATATTCTTTTGGATTTTAATAAGAAAGTGCAACTAAAAATCAAAATAAGTTAATCACAAAAAAGCATGACTCTACAATTATTCACAGTAATATATATATAGAAAAAAATTCTTTAACGAATTTGATACTAACTTCCATTTTTTAGAAAAATAATCGCTCAATCTAGAAATAGAATTTTAATATTAATTATCTATAATAAAAGAATATATAGTTTATCATAATATCATAATATATAATTGCAAAATATCACTTCAAAAATGATACGAACGAAAAAACTTTTTCCAAGATTAATATTTTATCTAATGTGTCTTCCCATTGTGAAAACTTCGAGAAAATCCAAATATAAATTTCGAAGTTAAGCAGTAATAGACTGAAAAATTAATTAAGTTACTTTGCCGCTCTTCACGTAACGTTACAATTAGCGGTAATATTATTTGACGATTTGAATGATAAATTATTAAAATTATTCGCCTAACTTTATTTCTAACTTCCATCGTTTTAATCTCTTTTAATCCGAGTCACAACCACAATAATTGTACGATAAATCAATAATATCCTGCTTCTTTTAACGCCATAAAATTTCCTTACCTGCCCTGACCTGGACGTCGCGGCTTAACACTCTGCCGACAGAATTGCTGGCCACGCATCTGTAGGCCGCGCTGTGCACATCCTGGCGAAATGCGGCGGCAGGAAACGGCAAAAGGACCAGCGTGCCGTTCCTGAGCACCCTCCTCACTCCCGGTACGTCGTTGACCGGATGTCCGTCCGCGGTCGACCAATCGATGTTGAGGGGGGGGCTTCCTGTCGCGGTGCAGTCCAGCCAGGCGCCGCTCGAATTCGAAAATTCAACCCTCGAGGGCGGCTCCATCACGAAGCTTGGTCCCCGTAAATGCGCGTCGAAACCGTGGCCGCCCGCCGATGTCACCGCCGCGGCCGCACCTGCGAATAAAACGGGACGCTCAACGATGGAAAATTCGCATAAATCTGCCGGCTGATTGCGGAAAAACGGCGCCGAATCGCATTCACACGCGACAGTTTAATTGCCACGTAAATCCCTCCTCCTCGATTTTTGCATATTTCCCCTCACGCTGCGCCAATAAAAAGCTTGGAGCTCGCTCGTTTACTGCTCGCTTTCCATCTTCGAGGGGGTTATATTTCGCTGATATTATAAATCCTGATTTCTGATAAGCTTCTTCTTAATAAGTTTATATATTTGTCGATTTTTGTGCGATTTTACATAATTCGTGATTATTGTAACGTTGGGTATTTTTTTATTTGATTGTTTCCTTAAAAGCATGGTAAATGATATGATGTTATTGGTAAAGTTTGTTTTGTTGATTTAGTTAATATTGTTTTAAACATCTTTATCGATCTATAATATCTATTTAACAATGTTATACACTAAGGCTGAAGGTACTATTGTAAATATTAAATTGTATAAAATTAATTATATATAATTATTTGAATGAAATAAAATAATATTAATTATTTTTAGTGTTAAGCGAAACAATCTATATAAAAATCATTTAACGAATATACAAATCATTGATAGTAGCAAAAAAGGTTAACATAGTTAGTCTAAAAATCATGATTTAATTACGAATGTATTTTAAATTCATGAATTAAATAAATTAAATTATTCATCATTTAATATTACCAACAATTCATAAAAAATGAATGAAGAATGTAATAAAATCAAATAAATGTTTTAAACGCAGCCTCTAAATTAAAATATTATTCTGTATAGATTTTCAAATAAATTGTAATTAAAGATTATATATAATTTTTAGTATCAATGAAAATTTTTCATAAATATTTCTTGTTCTACAGAGATTGTGCATTATATGAAAATTAGATATAATAGATTCACAAAAAAACTTTTTATTCTTTCCAATTATCATGTAGATTCTAAAAAGTTTCATTAGATTTTTCATTAGATGTATACATTAACATTTCCACGTTGTGGAAAGATTATTCTAAAAGAATCTAACCACAACGAAAAATATATGTGTATGAATATGTAAATTTCATGGTGTTGAAATTCTAATTTAATAATTTTTAAAAATATTACCTTTTTAAAAATATAAACGAACCCTTAGAAGCTTTAAAAAATACAATATTACAGTTTGAAATAGTTTCAAATAACTTTTCAAAATGTTAAAACTAGTAAAATTTTAGAATTTCAAAATACTTATTTATAATAAATTTTGAAAATTTACATATTATTGTATCAATGATAACTTGTTATAATTTATTATATTTGAATATCTTATCTTATATATAATACGACTTATAAATGATAATATATTTTCTATGTTTAAATCAATCATTTCCAAATTTCTCGATTATCGAAAAATAAAATCACTTTCATCATCACGAGAAAGAAATTTGACAAAGAAATTCGAAGCATGCGTTATTCTCTACTCTCGAGTCGTCAATTTAATATAGCCGGTGAAACAGTTGGTCGACTTTTAGTATTCGCGATTATCGATACGATGGCCGGCACGTAAGGAGCAAGTTATGCTACTCGAAGTGTATCAGACGCGCGGTACTTCGACATAATGCTTTGATCGGGGGTGCGAAAACACGAGTCAGCAAGTAGTGGGGCTCTTGCATCGTTAGAACGCCACTTCAGGCTAATAACTACGGGCAGGCCACTCCTGCAACTCGAGAGTGCAGTTTAATTGTAGAAGGTATTTGTACGATGGTGAAAGAAACTACGAGTGGAATTCAATTTCACGGGGTGAATAGGTAATATCATCCTTTGCGTTTCATGAAACGATCGAAGAATGGAAAAGGTTATGATAAATGGTACTGTGGGATATGTGAATAATGAAAATATTCGGATTGGAATTAATGCAATAGAAATTATTATGTGATTAAAGATTAAATAAATTAATCTAATAATTCTGTGAGTACATCACATAATTAAAAATCAATTTTCTGATGGAATATTGTATGATAGATATTTAATGATAGTTTTTGTTAATATCATTCTTTAATTATTATATAAAAAGAAATAACAAATATAGTAACTTTTATTGTAATGCTATTTTAATTATATATAAATTATTATTTCAATTATTATTCTATGATATATCTTATTATTTATTAATTATATATAATTATATTATTATTTTATTATTTAGTTAACATTCTATTTTAATTTATCTTTGGAGATTCTGAAAAATGATTTTTATTAAATTATTATATATAGTGAACGTATTTAAGCACTATTTTAAAGAGAAATCTCTAAATTTTTATTTGAATGAAAATTTATATATGTGTAATAAATTATATATATATAAAACAATGTTTTTGTCAAAATTTGAATCAAGCTTAAAGTTTCATATATTTTTATATGTTGAATACAATGTAATTTTTATGTAGAATTTTTTTGTTTACAATGACAAAGTATCAAAATTTAAACATTTCGCAATTTAAAATTTTATTATAATTTATACTATTACAAAATTATATAACATTTAAAAAACAAGAAACATTGAAATTTCGAGAGTTAATTTTATCTTTTTAAAAAAGAAAATTGTGAAAATCATATATTATACTGGTTCTGCTATATGAATATAACCAATCATCAATTAAGTGATATGATATCATAAGTGATATAAAGATTTAGATCATATCTAAAGAAGTTTTTTGATTTGAATGAAACTTTTTAATTTTATTGTAAGCTAAATAACTCATTATTAAATAAGAATTTATTGGCAAGAAAAAAGAATTGATTATTCGATAAATATTATTTATAACAAAGTTCTTTAAAATTTATGTTAGATAGAGAATTTAATATATATAAAAATGAGTTTGTTATACTAACTCTAATGATATTATACTGCTACATCTATTTAGCATAATGTAACTATCTGTAATATTTTTTATATATAAGTATAATGATATTCTTTTCTAATTTTAATTCTTCAATACTGAAATTTTAAAGATACATAATATATATGCATTTCACATTTCAATTACATCAAATGTTTAACAAATATTTTCTCATTTCCAAAGAATATGATCGAAGGATCCATTCATAAAAGTTCGAAAATAAAAAAAAATCGTGCAAACACGAAAAATTTATAAAGATGCAAAATCGTGATACCTTTTACAAAAATCTTCTTTCCTGAAGTTTGTTATTTCAGATATTTTTTTAGATTGACAAATAAACAAAGATTCGATGATAACAATGATCAAAAGATACCTCGTTGCCCGCATATGCCTGTGCTTCGAATTTCGTTCGTTCGATTTTGACGAAGATCACGATTCCATCGCGGCAACGTGAAGCGTACGTTCTAAAATTTGCGTATCGATCGGCGCCACGATGCCCATGTGGTCGTGTGTTAATTAAAAATTCATTTATCTTAAATTCAATTTCCTCTGACTACGAGCAGGTCGTTCGCGCGCGTGCACATATTCTGGGCAAAGGTGGAAAAAAATTCTAAAAATTTTCACATATTGTGCAATGAGAAGAAAAAAAATAAACGAATAGATATTTGAGTAATTTTTTCGTTTTTTTATTTTTCAACTTATTAGTTACGTTGCTATATATTTAAATATATATGCAAGATGTATATATCTCGAGATATATATAAGTGGAAAATATTTCAGAATGTATGATTCAGCAATGGAAAAATTCGGATAAATATATTTGAAATACATTTAAAATATTTAATAAAATTATTTACAAAATACCTGTAATAAATTTCAAGATATTCATTATATCTATCATCTATTTTTCATATATTTCAAAAATATCATTTTCTCATTGGGTTGTTTTGGTCAGAAGAGATATGAACAGAAAAAATAAACAACGAATAAAGTTAATATTAAATTCATGAAATTTTTATTTATGAAAATATTTCAAATTCACCGTATATAAAATTCCAATTCCAATTTGATCTATTCTCATTCAAAATTAAACGGAGAATATTTCTATAAATTCAAGAAATATCAAAGGAAGTTAGAAGAACGATGCAAATAAACGCAAGAATTTATTCAATGTTATTATTCAATGCATTCCATTAAGCATCAGAATTAAATAAGACCTACATTTATAAAAATCTTTTTCATTGTTTTTCGATGAAATATTTTCTTTATATATATATTTAATTTATCATTAGCAATTATTAAAACGCGAATATCACATCTACTTACATTCAATAACAAAAAGACAATTCAACCAATTCGATAAAAATAACGACGACAAGAAAAAAGAAAAGAGTAAAGCAATGATAACGCGTAATTAATTCGTCCAATAAGAGTGCAATTTTCGAAGAGAGGAGAGGATGTTCCGCCATTAAAAAGGACCACCACCACTACGCCCGGCCGCCACTGCTCACGGACGAGTCGAAACCAGGGAATGGAACGATATTGCATATCTCTCTGGCATCGTCCATAAGTGAAGAGCAGCGGGTTCGGTGGAACTCATAACGACCCATCCAAGGGAAGGGACGTAACTCGTTTATAACGACATTTGAGAGTAGAAGGGGGGTGGGAGGAGGAAGGCGCGGCAGAAAGAGAAAGCGAAAGAAGGAGAGGGAGATGGATTCACGACCGAATTTCGTAATACCGGTTGCAGAGATAGTATTCGCGTCGCATACAAAACACAAAGTATGCAAATCCTCCGGTGCAGCGTGGCCGAATTGAAATCCCCGTAGTGTCCGGCAATTACAGACCGTCACGGTGACTCGCTTCCGGAATTGTCTCGAGCACTTAATTACTAATTCCAGCCAAGTATTCGTTGGCCGGTGCTTCGCGTTGAATTACACGCATGCCACCTTACCCGTTTCATGCCCGTTCGTTTCCCGCGCGTATAACGCGCTGCTATCGCGATTAACGTGCACGCCATCTCTCGACTTTGATGCGGGTAACGTCGCGTGAAATAATTCTTTTCTGTATTGGAATTTGTGGGAAGGAAACGATTG